TAGTATGTTGCTTTAAAGCTTCATTTTTAATGTTGGTTGCCATACAGAAATTCGTGCGGCAGGTGGGGACGTGCGTCAGGTGATCAAGTACGGTAATTATCATGCAATTCACATATACAAAGTGCGTCTTGCCTTATGTCCGAGCTAAGTACTTCTAATCTCGAAAAAGGAGTATTTTCAGAATTATATACCTCTACTTTACCATTATTGTTATTGTTCCTCCCCTTTCCCCTAGACAATGCCAATAGAGGGTCGTAATATATAAGTGAAGCGCCGAAACGCAATATAATATTGAATATGACAATTACCAGGACAACTCATTGTTCGACTTTCTCCAGAAAAGCGACAGAAGGACCGAAATAATTGGCATAAAGACCATATCAACAATGACGACCAACTTGCCCAGAATTCCATCAAAGTCGATAGTCTACAATTTGGGGTCAATGATGCAGTCAGGGTAGGCTTTGTATTTACCTCTGTACTTACTGGAATTGAAGTCCCACCGCTCTTCCGAACCCAGCGGAATGCTCGCTGCATCATTTCAGATTCATACTTCACACATCGAACCGAGATTTCTTCTGTCGTGGGAGCCCTGCCGCTTGCAGCAATATCATTTAGTTCGAGGAGATACGGCAAGAGCTCCGCGCAATCGTGCATCGCTTGGTTGCCTCCCATGCCTCTGTCATTGTACAAGGGTCAGCAACCGATTCTCAGATATTCTAGGGTCAATTTGTTTTAAGCCGTACCGGTTTGGTTGCATTGCGTGGATTGCGTCGCCGAGAAGCCACACCCGGGGGTGGCCTTCATCATGTTGGCTCTTGTTTGATGTACTCTGGCGACATGCTCTCCAGTCCTTTGCCGGCTGGAAGCTCGCACGTAAAGGAGTGACTTGAATACCGTGCGAATCATCGTCCCCTTGGCCAATGCCGATTAAGGATTTGCTGTTGGGTTGGGAACAAATGACACCCTGTTAGTCCGGATAGACTATCCAGCTTCGTCTTAGAAAAGGGAGGGAGGGAAACGAAAATGGAAGCTGTTGAACTCACAGTTCAGGCGTCCAGTCATGTATAATATCCTGGCAGAATTGAAGGCGATCAGGGATATCTGCAAAGTCTGCGTATTCCGTGACACGAGACTTAGGGACGTTCAAGCCCCAGTAAAAGGATGCTTCAGCGTCATCATATGCCATCCCCTTAGCATCGAGTTTGCTTTTGTTATCCTTGTTAGGTAAGTATACTATATTTAGATAATGTTAGCAACGTGAGGAAGACACCGGGGTTAGATGGCACTTACGGGCGTAGAAAAAGGAAAGACCATTAGCGAAAATCAGGATGGGCCCTTTCTGCAGCTGTACATGGAGCATATCCAGCCTATCCTTGGGTAGTCTACCCTTGGACAGAAAAGCCCAGTGCGAATCAAGCTCAATCAAATTTTTCAATCCTACCGAAGCATTGACTCGCGAACTACTCCCGTCGGCACCTATTAAAACATCACACTCGTCTGTTGAGCCGTCGGTGAACGAGACCCTGACCTTCTCTCCCCCGTTAGATGAATTTGTGATGATTTCATACGAGGAGAATGACTTTTCATATCGAACATTCCCGCTCCGCATCACAGGATCAATAAGTAAATTACGTAGTACCACGCGGTTGATCGCAAAGGATCTGGAATAGGTGGGCAAGCGGGTCAAATCGAGAACGGGCTTGAACTGAGTGGTGTATAAACACGGAGCGGTAGGCCCCGAAGTTGCTGATTGTCCGAACTTTTGAATAATAGCTTCTGCAAGCTCATCTGGTAAACAAGCCCTGAAGCCCCTTATTGCCGAATCTCCCAGACGAATCTGATAGCCTTCTCGTTTGGAGTGCGGCGAATCCCGTTCGTAGATTGTGAAAGAAACGTCGTTGTTCAGTAACCCGTTGGCAAGGAGCGAGCCTGCAAGGCCAGCGCCGATAATGATTACTTTGAATGGCAGGGACTCGCTCATCTCTAGGCTGGAGGGATGTCAGAAGTTATTGGAATATATACACTCAACGGCATTCGTGTGAAGTGGGGAGATGAGCTCGACTTCTTAAAGCTTAAAGCCACGGTCTGTCTGTCTCTAAATAACTTTGTGCCTCCCAATACCGGACACTCAGGCCAGAGCTTACCAAAACTAATCAAAACTGATCTTACTCCGTTCTTGGGTGCAATTACATTTGCGGAGAGCCGATGACTATCTTGACAGCCGACGGTGGGGTTCCCGAATACTCTTGGCATCGACGATCCATATATATTGAACACACGCTGGGGGACGAGGATAATCCTTCCATTGTCTATGTCTGCCATATTCGTATGTCTTGGCCCAGTTGCTCCAATATGGAAAGTTTTTGCTAAACACTACTACAGTCGCCAACCAAATGAAATGCTTCCCCGTCGGCAGCCTCGGCACTCCGCAATCTGGTCCTGGACGAGTAACCCTTCGGTCGTAGTTAAAGTCAAAACAACAATCGTCCTACAGACTCAGTCTCGGACTCTCAACCATAGTGGTAGCCCTAGTGCAGATGGAGAATAAGGAGACTCTCGAGTACTTTGGTATGTAGCCCTAATTTGGCACTTGGACCCCCCCGTCTCACCAACTGCGCAGGTGCGACAACCTTCCGCCTCCGAATAGCAGGCCTCACCATCTTTCACGACACATGGCTTAGCCGACCTTCATTGCTACCTCAATTTCTCAACATCAACGACATAACGGATGTAGATTACATCCTCATATCCCATGCCCACTTCGACCAGTACGTCTCTCACCGCCACAGGCTAATAGCAAACAAAACTACTATCTGGTAACCATCCCGTTTTGTGCTTTTATACTGATATCGCTACAGTCTCCCCGGCACTGATGTGATCGCCAAACGCACCGGCGCAATCGTCGTCGCTAACAGCGAAGCAATCAACCGTCTCCGCGACGCCGGGGTCCCAGATACCCAACTCCTGCCCGTCTCTGGCGGCGAGCGCATCCCTCTCTTTACACGAGAAGTGCGTCTTGCTGCTGCTTCGAGTAGCCCTAGTATTATTCTCCGCCAAGGAGGACCACCCACTGCACCCCCTGAGCCGCACCATATGCTCGCGGTAGCAGAAGTGCATATCTGGCCAAGCCTGCACTGCCTCCTCCCAGGCAGCCACGAGACGCTTCCCGATGTACTCGATACCGGTGATTCATACGAGGGGGAGGCAACACCTTTTGATGGGACGTTGGATGTCACTCGGGGAATGAAGTATGGGCTTTTCAAGCTCAGGGAGCTGGTCCCCGCTGATATGATTGCGGGTGATTATAAATTGCGATGTTTTGTGGAGTGGCTAGAGGATAGAGGGCCAGGGAGGAATGTGATGTCCGCTTGTGATGGGGGTCAGCTTATGTTTCATGTCTTACGAACAGGAAAGGATAATACTTCCAGTGCCGGGATCTGGAGCGGGGGAATTCTGTTCAATGCACACCTAGGTGCGTATGAGGGCATCGTGAAGACGATACAACCACGTCCCAGTCTCGTTGTGCAGGGAATTGCGGGAAGAGCGAATCTAAATGGCAGACCGTTCAACGGATCTGCTGCGGACTTTGCAACGGAATTGATGAGGTGGCTGGGGGAGCCCGAGAGGGTGATTTGGTGTTTGCATGATGAGTGGTGGGTTTTCTCATCCTTTTCTGCTGGGGATTCAACTAACACAATGGATCATTAGTCTCATTAAGCCATATCGCATTGATACGACGGCTGCAACCGCGGCAGTGGAATCAGGCACAAGGACGCGGGTTGTGGATTTAAGGTCCGGGGAGCCTTATGTTCTGTATTAGTAGGAATATTTAAGATCACTCGAGCGGCGTTCTACGCTGGGGTCTAATACTGATTACGCATAAGAACGATCCTTATTCTCCGTTTAATCAACACTTTCTACACTAGGCCTCTGTGCCATCGCTCGTGCATTGACTCAACCTACAGTCATTTCCGGTGCACATAGCTAGTCAAAAGACGGCATTTGAACATTCGTTTCTTCATCCAGGTCCTTCAAATACTCCCTAGCCTTGGTAGCTTCCTGCAAAATGACTCCGGGGTGAGCCTCTCCACGGGGAATGAAGCGGGCACAAAACGCTTCCGGTCGTATATTTTCCGATTCGGTGAATGCAAAGATATCGAGCGTTTCCTCCTTCCCCTACATACAATTGTCAGTTGTTCGAACAGCCCTGGGAATAGAGATCGGGGTGAGCTTACGGTACTGTCAATGGCAGGCATCATCTCGAACACCCACAAAAGTCGCGAAAAGGTCAAGAAGAGCCCTTATTCAGCCAGCGGCTGCCCACTACACTGTCTTCTTCCCCATCCAAACGCACTATGACCCTTTATGTTCGGAAACGGGCGTCGATCCCCAAGAAAGCGCTCTGGTCTAAATCGGTCGGGGTCCGGGAAATCTCAAGGGTTGCGGTGGATGCTCCACATGTTGCCGGCAATCCACGTCCCTTTGGGGATTGTGTACCCTTCGTAAACATCATCTTGGATCGGGGCGTGCGGGATGCCCCCTAGGATCGTTGCGGTTCGCCAGCGGAGACACTCACTCACCAGGGCCCGGCAATATGGTAGATTCTCCTCGTCGCTCCAATCGGGCATCGGGTCGTCTCCGACGACTGTGGCAATCTCTGCGTAGGCTTTCTGTTGCACATCTCGGAATGCGCACATGGCGAAGACGAGGCTGATTGTCGTACTGGAGGTGGTGTCAACACCACCGCCGATCAGATTCCCCGTGAGAAATGCAATCTCTTCATCCGTTAGCTTTCCCTTCTCATATTCTTTGATCAGTGACGCGGAGAAGGATTGCTGCGAGGCAGTGGAGCTGGTGGCCGCCTCCTGGGACAAGGAGGTGAAGAAACGCGTCATTTTACGGTTATTCTCTAGGGTTCGTGAGGCAAGCGGATAAACTAGTCGGGGAAGCTGGAGATGTAGTGGTAGCGACTCCATCAGGAACTGCCCTGGTATCGCGAGGTCGACACCCTCCATGAATTTGAGAGCCATCTGCGCGACAATATCGTCCATTTTACTTACGCGGCGGCCAAACCCAACACAGGAAACGACGGATACAGAGTAGCGTTCAATAGCCTTGACAAAATGCTCTGGTTGTTGTAAAAGGTCCCGCAGTAGGACTTTAATCTCGTTGTCCTGGATTGGGCGATGGGCGCGCACGGCCTGGGAGCCTACAACGTTATGCGTCAGACGGCGGTGATGCCGCCAGATATCTCCGTAGGGTAACACGGGCTGATCGCGGTGCGTAGCGTTACGAGAGTCTCCTAGCATGACCATTCGTGGTCGGGAAGAGTAGATGTGTGATCGTTTGTCAAGCAGTTCGAAAATTGCCCAGGCATCATGGAAGAAGACCATTAGCTGATGGCTACGCCAGGGGGTGATCAGGGCACTTTCATGTCGCTGGGATAACTTGTCAAGCCAGAGCCAGGGACGGGGAAGCTTGATTTGATAGTGGTTGCCGACTAACGGCCAGGGGAATGGGCCGGGTGTGTAACGTTAGCCGTTACTCAATCTACTGGATGAGGCTTTCGATCGTTATCAAGTTGTTGTCCTTCTTATTCAACGGTTCTATTTGCCTATCTAAAGATATGGTTGACATGTGACAGGGTGGAAGTCTTTGACGGAGGCGGACAACGCGAATATAGTCCACAAGTACATGGAGAAAGGTCAAGAAGAGAATTGTTAGAAGTACTCCTGCAAGTAGGTATAGAGCACGCGTTGTTGTGTTACCAAGTGTTACCCAGGAAAACCCCATGTTGAATGCTCAGGGAGAGTCACATTCTATGAGTAGACAGAGCACGGACAGGCTGTCCGCTGGTGCTGCCACCGTAGCCGCTCCCCCTATATGGTGAGCCACTGTTGACGGCTCCAACTCGAATGATTATACTTCAACTATGTTTCGGTTCAGCATCTACCCCTCTTAGCTCGTCTACCATGTGTCTCGGCCGAAGCGGTCCGCCCCCCTCAGATCAGCAAGATATTGGGACTTTGCGGGTTGATCCGAATTGCATCGGCTCCCCGCAATCCAGCTGCCGGGTGGGTGATGTCCAACCACAGACCGTCAGGTAAAGGAAAGGATAGGCAAGAGACCTTTTGTCTGGGATATCCGTTTGTGCCAAGGGTTGGGGTTCTAGTTTCCCCGGGTTTTGCTTTTGGGAGAGATTTAAACTGGCGAGTAGAAAGCACCAAGTGTTTCCTTAGCCTCCTAGCACACAACGACTGAGCCAAAGGCGATGATTACCATCAATATGAATATCATTCACAAGCCTATTACCTCTTTGAATGCTCCTCAGGCTCGCAACAGCGGTCTAGAACCGGGTGTCACTATCCTTCCTAGAGGATTCAAAAAAGCGGAAGGCTGTCGCCCTTTACAGGTCGACACTATCTGGGAGAAAGATATTATCATCCCACTTAGAGATGGTACACAGCTAAGGGGAGATATCTTCCGACCGCAGCACATTGCTGAGAGGATTCCGATTCTATTGGTCTGGAGCCCTTACGGGAAGACCGGGACGGGTGGGTTGGGCTTCTTCCGGCTTCTCTGACGGCACTGGAGTTTCTAACAATTCCTTCCATAGGAATGTTCAGTTTGGATCTGATCCAAGGTCGCGTTGGTATTCCAGTAGACCGACTCAGCGGATTTGAGTGCTTCGAAGGACCTGATCCAGCGGAGTGGAACCCGTATGGCTATGCCATTGCGCAGGTGGACGCGCGAGGTATCTTTCACTCGGAGGGTAATCATATGTAACGTCACCGATACCCCATCAAAGGTCACCCTTTCTTTACAATTGAGATATCTGACAGAGTTTAAATAGATGGCACGGAACCGCCGAAGGCCGTGATGGGTATGACACGGTCGAATTCCTAGGCAAGCTTGACTGGAGCAACGGACACGTTGCCCTGATTGGAAACTCGTGGCTTGCCACTGCGCAATGGTTCATCGCCGCCGAGCGCCCCCCACATCTATCCTGCATACTCCCATTGGAAGGGCTGAGTGACGTCTATCGGGAGACGCTGTGCCGTGGTGGGGTCCCATATACTCCGTTTTGGAAATTTCTAAGGGATAACGGGCTTTATGGTAGGGCTTTCCTGAGAAAGTAGGGACTACTTATTTATAAGTCTAGGGAACAACAAACAAGAAGACATCGTCGCGATGATCCAGAAGCACCCGCTCATGAACGAGTACTGGGAGGATAAGAGGGCTAAGGTGCACCTTATCCAAGTGCCAGCTTATATTCTCGCCAGTATGTCCACGGGCCTCCACACTATTGGATCGACACGCTGCTACGAGGATATTCCCCATGAGAATAAATGGTTGGTGAATAATAGTTCGTTCGCACAAACGTAAGCTGACCAGGGTCATCCCTTGGCCTGTAGGCTTCGAATGAATGCGACGCAGGAGTGGCATGATCTCTACCAGCCGGAGACGATCGTTGATTTAAAGCGCTTCCTCGATTATCATACAAAGGGAATCCAGAATAACTGGGAAGCAACCCCAAGAGCTCGGGTCTCGGTTCTTAGGTTCAATCAGGTACTCATGTGCCTCCCTCTTCTCCCTGTAGAAAATACATAAACAATGACGACGGACATGCTAACTTGCTGACTTGTTCTAGAGCCCACTAGTTAATGTTCCATTCTCAAGCTGGCCTCCTCCTAGCGCCACGTACGAAAAGTATTATCTAACTAACGGCGGCCAACTAACACGAAACCATACGGAAGCAATCAGCGGGTCAGTCTCGTACCAGAGCGACGCACCGGCCCTGCAAATTGACAACGATTCCGAAGAAGTCATTTTCAATTTTACTTTCGCCGAGAGAAAATCAATAATCGGTAACGCGAAGGCAGTCCTCTACATGTCCTGTCCGGACCACGACGACCTAGATGTATTCATCCAGCTGCCCAAGGTCGATCGCCACCAGCAGATCCTCCAGAATATCAATATACCCCTACACCATCTAGGCCTAGCGTTAGAGAAAGAAGTCGAGAGTATCAACACGCTCAAGTACCTGGGACCTACAGGTGTGCTGAGGGTGAGTCACCGGGCCCTGGACATTAGTCTTTCGAAGCCGCATTGGCCTGCACATAACCATTCACAGGTGTCACCTGTCCCACCCGGGTCTATCGTGCGGCTAGAGATTGGATTGTGGCCGGCGGCTATACAGTTTGAAGCTGGGGAAGGCTTTATGCTCAAGATTGCAGGGCACCACATGACTCTGGCCGAATTCGTGCCGCTTCGCGGTCTCTTTGAGAATAGTAATAAAGGGAGGCATTACGTGCACTTTGGTGGAGACTGTCCAAGCCATATTATGATTCCGACTGTTGCCCTCTAGCAGATTTAGTGAGACAATTCTATCCTGCTATGGTACATGGGCTCAATTGATTGACTATATACAATGTAGTAACACGCACTGGAATGATATATATCTGTACTTTTCGTAGCACTAGAAATGTAATGTTCGTCGGAAGTTCCTATTGTTCAATTTTATTCAGGTTAAACCTTCATTGATTTCTTTCGCACACCCAATTCAAGACTTCAGGTAGGAAAGATGCATTCAACACTCCATGATGATACTTATCTGGTAAGCTTGCAGCTCACACTGGATCTACTGGGAATAATGGCATACTGGGTAAACTGTTACAAGTTTTTTTCTTTCTTTTCCTTCTTTCTTTCTTTATGTATTGCTTATTTTTTTTCCTTTTGTTTCTCGGGTTCTTTTCCACGAGTGACACAACATTGCTACATTTATATATATAGCCGTGCTGTATACACAACGGTCTACCTTACTACTTACCATGAAAAGGTCTCCACACCAGTCATCCCGTAGCGGTAGTCTTTAGTCTGACTACAGATTTCTCTAGTATTAAACTTATAATCCTAAATTTCTTAAAGGACTATACTACGATAATAAAATAATATAGATATATACTTAGCTGTTTATATTTGCAGTAGCTAATTTATGATCAGACTAAAGAATTGGTTTTGTGAATATCCTGTGCTTGGTAAAAGCTTTGTATTTTGGGTAATTGTGTATGGTATTGTGGATGGTGTATTCAAGGGTATCTCAACTGTCGAAGAATTGCTCGAAAAACGACCCCCAAAGGGAAGAGAGTTACTGCTCTGTGCGGGGCAACCCCAGAGTTACGAGTGAGGGACATGCGGGGAGAGCTCTCTAATTAGTATGGGTAACATATGTAGAATATTACGTACTGATTCGAATAGTTAGAAGAATCACTTTCCATGTAACATATTTACTCTCTCCGCCGCCATTATACCACTTGGGAGGTAATCGATAGAGTCCAAATACCAAGTATATGATATAGGAGAGAGGCCGCTATGGTTTTATATACACGCAGTAGGTACGACTCGTAGAGACTACGAGGACCTCTGCAGGGGAATCCTACGGGGGGTAGGATCCGTACCCAGTTGGAGTCACAGTACTCGTATATCATAAGTTATAGGTAGCAGTATAAACCGCTTCTAGATTAGTTGTAAAATGAACTGGAATCTTGCTGGTATCGTGCACGTATGCTGATGCACCTCATATTTTGCTGAGAATTCCTACTCCTAATACGGCTCTGTCCTTGAATGGCGAAGTCCCCTATTCTCCTGTGAGGACAAATTATGTCTAGTCTATTTTACAAAGCTCCCACACATCAATTGGCGGGGCACTACCCACTGTCGTCTATCACCTATATGCCTGAGTCGATCTGTTTGACCAGTGACGGGCTTTTGAATTGCTCCCAAGAACGACAGCTCTGGCGGATGACCATTGGGATGCGTAGCTCTTCTATCAAGTCCGGTTGCTCCTAGAAAAAGGAAATCATAGTATTAGCAGAGAGTGACAGTGACAGGTCGGGGAGAATTATATATCTGGATATCCGGGTTGGGTGTGGTGGTTTGCTACTTACGAGGGCTAAGATGACCATTCCGGCGCTAGAGTGCACAGACATATGGCAATGGAAAGGCCAAATGCCTGGATTATCTTGCCTCCATTCGAGAACCACATAGGATGGCTGGTCAGGGGTTCCGGGCTGCATATTATGTGTGTCACGACGTAGTGGATTCGATGGGTTTGTGATTTCACCATCCCATGTCCCCAAGCCTTCTGCCAGAACCCAGAAGTTATGACCGTGTAGGTGCATCGGATGTACAGTGCCATACATATTATTCAGAATCAACCGCACACTGGAGTTGCTGCCAAAGTTGTAGATGTTCCGCTCTGTAGGGAAAGACAGATTTCCTGCTTTGGCACCAAGCAGTGCAGGATGGTGATAATCGGCGCGGAAGGATGAGCCGTCCATGAACATGACTGCATATCCGGTGGCGTTCAACCCAACGGTGACTGTCACCGTCTGAACAGTCTCGGGCTCCGGAGGTGCTAATGGGTAATATGGGACTGTCTGACTCAATGGGTCATTACGACAGTTGTTGCTTTCCCATGATGAGCCGTTCGTTTTTGGAGGATGGTCGGTGTTTGCGGACTCATAATATATAGCTGCAAGTGCCGTAGGAATAGTGGCGGTCGTCTGGAGACAGACCATGTCAATATCGGATCGCATCCACACGGCGTCTCTGGGAGAGCCGGTAGCATGGACAATGACATCCGTCCGTTGACCAGCACCCAGGGTGACCACTCGGGTGTTATAAGGCTTGACCGGAACATAATCGTTTGCAATGACTGTCATCTCATGGTTGTCAATGCTGAACTTCTGGTTTGCAAGTGATCCGGTGTTTATAAGCCGCAGCCGATAGCGCTTCCCGGACTTAAATTGAAATTTCGCGTGCCCCGCTCCAGGAAGACAGCCCCGATGGGTTTTGGTAGAGTTGCAGTCATATGCCCCTTTGCCGTTGATCAGATTATTGTCGACGCTCAATGGCAGTGGGGGCTTTGAAAAGCTCAGCTCCAAGGCCTTGTTGTAGCTAATATGAAAGTAGTCGGAGATCATGACCGGCCCCAGATCATGGTCATAGCTGACTTCCGGCTGTACTGGACCGTAGATCACCATTGGACCGTAGAGCCCGTCATCGTATTGGGCACTGTAATGCGAATGGTACCACCCAGTGCCGAACTGATCTGCTTGGAAGGTATAGGTAAACTTCCCACCACGGGGTGTGATAGGACATTGGGAAACACCCGGAACACCATCGTACCACGGGGCGTTCTTCAGGGTCATTCCATGCCAATGCATCGTGGCACCTTCGTCAGGGCTATCGATATTGTTGACGACTGTCACCTCGATCATATCTCCCCAGTTGGCTTCAATCACCGGACCGGGAAACTGATCATTGACTAGAATTACACTTTTATTAAAGCCGTCCGGGGCCTTGAAGCCACGCGTAATGCTAAAATGGTAATGCCGCGTCACCCCTGTGTCAGGCGGTTCTCCCGCTGGATTTGCCGAGCCCCAGGGTAGTCCATCTTCCAAGGGCTGAGGTTTAGGTGCATCAGCGGGATGGGTTGCAACGATTCAAGCTTTTTCCGAGATTCAATACATACCCCGTCTGTGAGGAATTTGGGCAACTGTGGCGATGGCAAAGTGCCCCATGCTGAACGACCTACGGGGGTTGTAAACAAGATTAGGACAATGTAACTTGGGGGCAAGGAGGGCAAAGGGAACGAGAGAAACAGAAACAATAATCAAAGCCAATTGGACAAATCGAAAAGAAAAAAAGCAGGAACTAACCATTGGTGGCATATTGCGACAGACACGCTGCTGTCGCTGCCGTCAGCACAATGAATCGCAGCAGGCGGGACATGGTGAAATTGCAAATTGTGACTCCGAGCCAAAATATCCAGAGAAAGAGAACACGTTCTTGATTTATATCCACGAGGGAGGACGGCAGTGGCAAGCATGAGCCTGGCTAGAGTCGCGGTCGCAATTCCGGGGGCTGACTGACTATAGGCGGACTCCGAAGTAGGGTTACAAGAAAGGACCCACTCTCGCGTTATAGGCACAAGGGAAGAATGGCACGACCCATATGAACCTATCAGCACTACCGTCGCCGTTTAGGGGCAGAGCAGGCATCTCATCCCTGCTCGACGTGGCTTCGAGACTCGAGGAGCACGAGCGTCGTTGATACATCTAGTCTGTGCGAACACCGGCTCAATTTTGCCCATGTAACTAGTCTAGTTGCAGGATTTACGGGTGGTAACCTTTTAGGAAATAGTTATTTGCAATCCTTGAGTTCGTGGCTCTGTCATAATCACCAATCTGCTTAGGAGTATGGTTGGTCTGCGAGTTCAATGGAGGAAGTCGGGCTAAAAATCTAGGGGCTCCACTCGTCGAACCCGAACTCAAGATGAAATAATGCACGGCCACGATGGCCTCGATTTCTTATACGAATTCTCATTGTATACGTAATTTATTTTTATATTTCTGTATTTCCGCCCAAACCCCAAACCCCAAACCCTAACCCCAACCCTCTGCGCCGTTCATCATGATCAGGAGTAAATACGATCCAGTGCCTCATAGATCGAGAATCATTCGGTTCATATTTCCAGCCGTTCAGAAGCAGGACGGCGGCGCATCAGGATTTCGGCGTCTGGATTGGGGAAAATGAATTCATGGGCCCGCAAATTTTCGGGTCGTTCATTTCCCCGCTTGAATTTAAATTCATAATCCATGAGGAGACGGACAAGAATGACTTTAATCTCCAGACTGGCGAAGAAGCGACCGGGGCAGGAGTTCGGACCGTGACCAAAATTCAGAATCCGATCTTGAGTGGTGGAGAATTGATGGAGATGTGCCTCGCCCTCGCGTTGACGGAGTTTATAGTAGCGGAACCCGTCAAAGACCTCAGGGTCAGGTGTCACGTCGGGGTCGTTTTGAATGGCATTGACTGCCATGCTGATATGGGCCCCTTTCGGCAAAACAGTTCCATCAGAGAGCGTGGTTCTTTGCAGCATGACGCGGTGCATGGAAAGAAGCGTGGGGGGGTTGAACCGCTGAGACTCACGCATGAAGGAGTCGAGCTTGCGAAGTTTCGAAAATGCTGGCTTCTCCCAAGTCATCCACGGACCTACTTCTTTGATCACGTCACGAATCTCTTCGCGGATCGGCTCGAGACATTCTGGGTGTGCCAGAAGGTCGTACAACACATGAACAGCATTCATCTGAGATGTATGGATGGATGCAAGTGACATCACGACCTCGAGGTGAGCCAACGAAGCCGGGTCGCTTTCTTGTGGCGTAGCAATTTCCATCATCCAGGACAACAGGTTGTGTTTATTTTCCGCGAGCTCCTCAATTCCTTTTGCTTCTTTCTCCCGGCGGCGAAGAATTTCAGGGACCAGAAGCTTCTTCGCCTTTCGGATATACGCAGTGCCCCTGTATGACGAAGGCATGAACCAGCTTACAATCTTATGGGTCCACACGGGCAGGAGACGAAGAAAGACGAGAGAAACAAACACTAAGTTCTATGATGAGCATTTCGCAGTTGACCCAAATATATATATAAATACAGAAATATATTTCGAGGTGAATCATACCATTTTCAGTAAACTGCGTCGAAATTTCCAGCCATTGAGGGTCCCGACAGAGTGGTTTCCCAAGGAAGATCCTCGCACTGACGCGGGCCACGAAGTCGAGGAGTGTATGATAAGGCTTGATAGTCACCCACTCATCTGTGGTCTGGTGAACTCTTGTTCTTGTTTTTCCGCTGATTGTGGGGTATGTTACACGCACCTTCTGATTTGGTGAGCTCGTGCTCTATCGCAAAGTTCACCTCGTCCTGCATAGGATGTGTGAGAGTGTTGAGATGGGGAGTCAGTTTGAGCTGGAGAGTGCGGAAGTGAAGGTTATTGCGCAGGATGATGTGCATATTAGTAGAAGACCCCATCAAATTATGGACGTGGGCAACCGTGGGGCTCGCCACATCATTCGGTAACTTCCGTATATCATCGACATATTTGAACGGCAAGACCAGCATGTCCGTGTCGGCCCGGCGAAATTGAAAGATCTTGTGTTTACACTGGACCCTAGATGATCAGCCGCGGTTCGGACGGAGGAAATATAGGACTTACGGTGCGATATCCATCTGCTAAAACCTCCTCTGCGTGAAGGAAAAAACGGAAATTGGAGACCACGATGGGCTCCCAAAATGACTTGATGCCAACGATAGGCACTTTATACCCAAAGAGCTTACTCCATCCCGAGGAAAGAAGGTATGGTATAATAGCCATGGCCATAACGGCTAGGATGGACGAAAAAAACGCATCGTCAGGTAAGAGATATGTCTGATGAGCGTCGAGCAAAGCATGGGTCGTATTCGCCATGTTGACGAACGGTGTAGCAGCAGACCAACGGAAATAGCAAGGAGGAGTGGGTTTGGAACTTCTAGAGAATGGAGTGCCCGCGGAATATCACACATCTTTAATTCCCAATGTCTCCGTGTACGTGGCTACCACTTGATAGACGATCGCGACCCTAACCCATATCAACCCAATATCCAACAGAGTTAGCTTGATGCTGGCTTAACTTTCCTATGCAGCCCAATCCCCTAAACACATCTTCAGCCCCCTTACCTGTTGGCGCTAGAGATATGCAGTACGGAAGAGAATGAATTAATGTGACGGCCCCTGCAGAGCCGAAGGCTGCAGTGTAACATCTACAGCAACGCTATCAAGAAGTTGGCGCTTTGGAGCTAATCTTACTTATAATCTTACTTGCAGCTCTAGGGGCAATAGCGTATGCGAGTGCGTATCACGTAATGGCATGAAATACACTAATACATATTTCCTCGATACGTGGTATCGCAAGGTTCATGACCGGGAAGAAACAAAAAACCGACAAAACCAAAACCACTGCAAAGTTGCACGGGATTGCGCACTAGCCTCGGTCTAGGGTTTCAAGCGACTAGCAATGTCCTGCGCAACGTATATTTGGCCAAACAGGTCGGTTACTTTGATGAACGCTTGGATTTGTGCCGTTGTGGTGGCACTGGTCTCAGCTGATAGGTGTGCAAAACAAACCTGCATACATGACCTCTCAAACTCAGCAAGTTCCATCAGATCCTGTTTGTGCTGATCTTGCCCTCTAGAGAGGCCATCCCCATTGAAATCGGCAAAATCAAGGCTGTTGAGATTTTTCTCCTGGAGGTCTCGAAGCTGAGACCCATAGTCGTTGAACTGTCTGCACATCGTGGCCAGATGCAAAGCTAACGCGCGGGCAAAATATCTCTGTTTAGCGGAAGATATGCAGGAGCGTCCTTGGCGACTGATGAGACAGGTGAAGAATGAAAATGAGTAAGGGCAACTCGTGTCCATGGCTCCAGTGGTCCGAACCCAATCAAAATAGGATTGACTCCAAAGATTGTCACTAATGGTATCACTATTGCGGAGACGGGAGTTATCCGCATTGTGCGCCATATGTGCATGAAGAAATTTATCTAGTTCCTTGCCGACTTCGCGCTGCGCGGCCGCGGGGCATGCTATCACACATGGATGATACCGTACATGTCTGATATATTTTAGAATCACTTCAGTCACCTCGGAAAGATGCGGAGAGGGGGATTGGCTCTGACTATCTTCCGTCTGCGGGGATGGTGTCAACGCCTGCAGTTGGCCTTCTCTCATAAACACATCGGATATGTTTTCCGTAGACAGGTCCTCATCGAGACACGCATTGCGGATCTCAAATTTGAGTTCACGCAAGCATGGCTTTGGGAGGCTTCCCACGACGGATTCCATGTACTCATCCGCTTGATAGTTGAGCATGGAGATGACCATCATGTCCCACATGGTCTCACTCGAGAGAGGAAAACCAGATATAGTATTAACACTGGTCCAGGCTACTGGAATAAAATCCAAGTATTTGTCCTTTGTCATCCTCATCCTGTCTCGCGGGAAGATATCAAGTCGGATTTTCCGCAAGGCTCGTGAATAAAAATGGGCTTCTGTAATCGCCAAGAGCATTGTGCGCCGAGGAGTGTCTTGAAAGATAGGTAGCTGTCCAAAGACGGCTGCCATAGTTCTACCTTTCTTCTCCGGGAGAGTGAATATTTGTTTGACTTCGGTAGTCCAGGCGGCCTCCTCCCTTGGAACCTTCATTGCAGCAAGGGTATATGTTTCAGCGAGCGTAGGCAGTCGGTAAGTTACCTTCTCGATCCAGATATAATCGCCCTCGGACCACTCACTTGCGTGCTGTTGCAGATAGTCTCTTCCTCTGAGCAACGAGGTGTCAACAAGCTCACGGAGCGATATTGGCCATGGTAGTCTCAGTATGTAGGCAAGAAGAAGTATGCTGTAGGCAGTCCTCTCCACGGAATTGTCCCATGAACCATTCTCGTGTTGGTGAACCAGTGCCTTTGACAATAGCTGGCAGAGCACAATCGGGATCTTCGACGTAACAAGTTCTGTTGACAACTTGGTCAAATCACCTTTACTCCACGCGGCAATGAGTTCAACTAATGCATTCACGAGAAGCATTTCGCTATACTCAGAGGCCAGATTCCACTTATCACATAACTCTCCACCCTCCCAGCAGGAGACCAGGTAATTGGCGGTTTTCTCAATTTGTGGGATATAGGTTGCAGGGCTCGATGACCGCAACAGAGCCAACAGAGTGTTGGCATTTGCGCTAAAGCTGGGGTTACGCTCTAGTTTATAGGTTTGAAAATGACGCGGGGCTTCAAAATACGCCACCAAGGAAGAGGGATCCATTGGGACCTTCAGATATGATAGAGCGAGGAGAGACCGAGCTGTGTCATCCGCATCTGGTACAAAGCCTGGGGCGAATCCAAGTAATCCGTGTTGCTTTTCAAAGAGACGTTGAAGATAAGTGGTGATAGCTTCGATGCCCTCCCTTGCAAAGTCCTCAATTGCATAACCACTTGCCAGCAGCGTTGATATTGTCCAGGAAGTTTCGAAAACTGGTGTTGGAAATCCGCTGGGGACGCCTCCGCAGGATCCGCATCTCTCCACAACATTGCGAAGGTACTTTTCGGCGGCTTCGTCCCACACTGGAGAGTAGATAAGGTATGCTGCTGTCGAAGCCGGAGACCCCATCATGCCTCCATATTCCGTGCAATGATGTTTCAGCTTTTCAAAGTCCACCTTGCCAATCAGCCCTTCAAGTGAATGGAGCAGGGTGGTTTGCTGTTTCGAGATGACCATTTCCGGTCTGAACTTTGACAGCTTCTGCTGATGAAGCTTGATGAGATCCTGTCTGCTGGGGAAATCCAGGCTGACCCCTCGCTGTGCCAATTGCTGGAGAAGACATGGGACCAGGATCTCGAATCCCACATGAAGGGTAGCTTCCACATTCCAACTGTTCAGTGCATCGGATAAGGATGTGATTGCACGCGAGATTCTCTCTTCATAATTGTCGGGCCCTATATCACTATCAACGCTGCATTGGGTAGTCTCCACCGTATGGTGCTCTAGTAATGACAGCAGGCCCGCCATAGTATTGAGAATCACATCAACAGGCGATGCATTGATCCCCCAGGAACCGTTGTCATTTTGCTGGCGCAGAACATACGCAAACGCCTCTGGAAAAGCCCACTGACGGACCCCCACAGCGTCGGGCTTGGTGACCATTGACACCCAAGCTGTATCATACAACGACAAACTAAATCCACCGAAACCACTCGCCAATTCACAGCCATGAGAGATTATGTTTACCACTTGCTGAGCCCTTTGGATAAGGTTGGGGGGCTCTACACCAGTCTTCTGACGTTTTTCGGCTGCCATTGTCTGGTTCCAGGGGGATAATTCCTTTTCTTCTTTTCTTCTTTTCTTTTTCTTTCCTTTTTTTTTTTTTTTTTTTTTTTGCTTCCAGGTTCAAGGATCGATACTGACTGAACAGCAGAGGCTGAGGCTAAAGAAATAGGAGAGCTGCCTCATTCATATTGCTCTATCACTATTGCTAGCTACAGACAAAGCTCCCAATGAACCAAAATAACGATACATATCTATGACAGATACAATGTATTTTCACGTACGGTGAATTCTTACCGTCCTGTCTCTGATTTCTACTGAGACCCTCGGTTAATGCAGTCACTTCTCAAAGTACAATCATGTGAAGAGTCGCCTTATCTTTCTCTACTGGTATACTGGATACGAAATGGTAGGCGCACTAGCAGCCAACCGAACAACACACAATGTCAGCCAGTTGCTCCTGGAGACCCTGGCAGATCTAATTATACCACTGGCCCCCATCCCAGGGTGCGTGGTCATAATACTTCCAGTGCATGAACAAACGTGGGGGCACTGCACAGGCCATCCTCATTGGTGTGGGGTGTGGGATTCCTTCCGTGATATCCGATCCTTGCGGCCCGGCCCCTGGAAAACAAGCTCGGATCGGCTAAAACTAAGTATTTGTAAGCTGGCTTGCCCAGTGGAGACTCCCTCTTAGCTCAGCTGCAATGTAACCTGACCAGATGTCCCACAGGAGATGCTGATCCCTGAAATATTATTACAACAGTCATGGATCCGGATCTTACAGCCTTGTCCGTATCCTCAAAGCACCGTACGCTGGCCATGTTGGAGGCGGGATCGTCCTCGAGACACGCACTCTGTAGACAAGGGAGATATGGGGTTTGACGTAGATCCTATATGTAGTTCCCTCCTTTCCATTATTATATATCAAGGGCTGATAGATGCCGCCAGAGTTGGTATTCTACCCGAGCCTTCCCCAGGTACAACAATGTAGCGGTATAATGTGTATGACTCGAAAAGTCGAACCAAAGGTACCGCTATATCTTAGTCCCTCCTTGGTAAAGCGATGCAACACGCCACCAAGTGCCAGAAAAGAAGATTAATGTCTGGAAAACTGTTTTAGTTGATTACGGGCCAGTGAGAGGGCATTATATGACGGTGGGGCATAACCTTTAAGGTGGGCTTGCTTGACTCGCTTACTCCGACTTCCTTCCCTTTGTCTAGTGTTCACGGATACCACACCGAGTACTTTTGACCGGACTTTGCCAAATCACGGGTTGGGTTTCGACCCTTGACCCAAAACCCGCCAAGAAAAAAAAATAACGGTAATATATATACATATAACACATATACACATATACACCATATCAATGTCTGGATTCGTGGCGGGGTTGTGGGTAACCCATGGGTCCCCAACCAACCAATATGGCGAGGTCTATCTTTGACAGGGCTTATTCCACGGCTCTGGCATCAGCAATGCCCTGATAGGCGGGGTTATCAAAAATGTGCCTCCATTAGCCAATGCCTTGAGGGGATCCCTGTCGATCCGCAGATTGGTCCATATGGTGCAATTTCCGCGAATACAAAGTTAACTAACTAATTTCGCGCGGCCTAGGCAGACATTCTACTTTCACTATCTCAACCTGTACAGAGACTTCTAATCCTCATTTTCCCTCATTTTGTTGTTCACCTTTCTGTTTACCAGCTTTTGTTTTTTGTTTTTTTAAAAAAAAAAAAAAAAAAAGAAGAAGAAAACACGATAGTTATAACTATGTCGAACCTAAAGCCAATCAAGATCTTCTGGAGAGGTAATTCCCTCCCTCCCCAAAGTTTCCCCAGTGGTCTCTAGTAGCTTCGAGCAGACGAATTAATGAGAGTCAATTTTATCCAGATCACGTTCCAAATCCCTCCAAAGTTCTGGTTATACTTGAGGAGCTCGACCTGCCCTACGAGACCTCATATGTTGAATTGGATGAGTTCAAAAAGCCGCCTCTCACCGATGTGAACCCTAACGGACGGATTCCCGGTATTGCTGATGCACAAGGACTTCTAATCTACAATAGGAGCTTTAAACTAATTGAATTCAGCGATCATTGATCCTAATACCGGGCTGAAGCTCTGGGAATCCGGTGCAATTATTCAGGTAAGGCTATCTGAACAATGCAATATTGGTATAGGTGCTCACCGTTGTATTAAAGTACCTCATCGACACGTATGACAAAGACAACAAGCTCACTTACACTGAGTTTCCCGAAAAGTACCAGTTGACCCAGTGGTCATTTTTCCAGGCGTCGGGTCAGGGGCCCTACTTTGGTCAGGCTGCGTGGTATGTAATCAATCAGGCCCAGGCACAGTTCAAAAATACAGGCATTTTCGTCCACCCAAGTGCTAACGGATGTCCCGGACAGGTTCAATATATTCCACGAGAAAACGTATGGGGAAGCTCCCGAATCGGCTAAAGTACGATATGGCTCAGAAGTCAAGCGAGTCGCGGGGGTTTTGAACACTGTTCTGAGTGAGAAGGAATGGTTGGTTGGCGATAAATGCACGTATGCAGACTTGGCATTTGTGATGTGGAACTTCCAGATTCCCTTTTTCATGGCAAGTCGGACCGGCGAGCATGCCTGGAACCCAGAGGAATTTCCGCACTTTACCCGCTGGCAGAATGCCATGGTGGCGCGACCATCTGTCGCGAAAGTGATCTCTGTGTTGAATGACAAGGAGGTGAAGAAAGGCGCGTAGAGATTCAGCCGCCGAAACCCATCTTGCTTCGGTTCTACTTAATTGGAATCGACTGCTGGGAATGGAATACGAGATAGAGATATTTCGAGTACCACCCATATTTAGACAATCGCCCTAAGCCACTCCCAGTTGTGAGAAGAAGTCTCCAGGTATTGAAGTACAGTACTATAAAATGTTTACTGAGATCTAGTATGTCCCACTGCGTGTGGCCATTCGATGGCCGAAACATAAAATTCATCCAAATTCTGCCGGAAATACTGGAAATACATCACGAGCTGTGGGTATGACGGCTTGTTCGTCGGACAAAAATGATTGGAGGTCCTTTAATAACCCCCGCTAGGGCTAATGCACGAAGGGTAGCCTTGTGCGAGATAGTAAGACCCTCTGGTTCTGGTCATTCGTTGAAGGGTTGGGAACATTCCCGACGATGATAGGAGGAATGTGATGGCGACAGATTTCCCCCTGCACAAGGATACGACTCACCACAGGCCGGCCGGTGCACAAGCCCAAAATCTGACAGACGGATAGCAAATAGCATGGGGCTGGCTAAAGAAGCTCGATCGTTAAACACGGGCCGTATGGTGGATCCTGGACTGAGTATTTATGCATACGGTTGGGGTCCAAATTTGTACCCCTAGTGATCAAGCTCTAGTGGCAGTCCCCCATGATGTTGGTAATTGTGGCATGAATAAATCTTTTGGGAGCCAGAAAAAGGCCCAACTTGATTAAGGGAATCAACAGGAATACGGTAGACCACGAAAACTGTAAGTTCAGTGGCGCAGAAGAGAATATCTGGTTGCTTGAAAGGATCGGGCGATCTATGCGGAAGAGTGTTATACAATAACTTCGTTTTATGGAGAAGCCTTGAAATAGTACCAAGAACGTATCATATCTTCCTACATAATTATATACACAGTGTTTCTCACCTGTTTCAAACTCTTCAGAGCGCGTACCCTTCGGTCATACCCTGTCACCGCTCCTCACGGTTAGAATATGCCTTCATATCCCATGGGTTTGCCCTTTGTCGTAGTGTCCCGAGGTGAGGCCGGCCGTTCCTGCCGCGTAAAAGTCTGCGAGACGTGGATACTCATTGGCTGCACATCACTTGCCAAAGGGACATGATCCTTGAAGGTGAGATTCCCCATTTCCATGTCTACATCACCTCTATTACGTTCTAACCGCTGCCAGGGATGCCCACGGTTTGATTGATTGGAGTCATGTGATGAGTCAGTACTAGTGAGGATTATCGTAGATTTCCGACCAGAGCCCCTGCTGTGATCGCTACGGAGAGTATCTCTCTTTGCGACGTGACTCCACAAACTTCGAGCCCAGCTGGGAATATTCCAGCTTGTGTTGAATAGGTGTCCGTAGGTCGGGAGGCAAGCAGCGATCACGCTGGTACAGGGCTCAATCGTTCCCCATGTAATGCCAGGAGTTACGGTTGCGTAGCGGTTTGTGCCGGTGGAGCTCGTGGATTCGTAGACCTCTGTGTAGACGTAATAGAAACGAATAATAGAGGCAATGCAGCAACTGGATCATAATATCAGTCTTGGTTGCACAATTTGATCAGGGAAGCTCGATGCGCAAGCCCCACTTACAAGATACCCAGCCAGAAAATGCCCGCCAGTTGGACCTTTTGCCGAGTGGATATCATGAGACGATGGATCACAGGAATGGGAAAGCAGAGTACGATCAAATCGAAACACATACTCATCCCCGTCACTGCGATGGTAAAATGGTTGTAGTTGTAGCGAAGTGGATTGCCAGCCAGTGGATTAAACGCTGCGGTGACTGGGTTCGCGGCAACCGCTTGGGCCTATAGTTTTGTCAGTCCATTCGGAGATTCCTTGATCGGCGTTGGAAGAGATAGGCATACTACGAGGCAAGCAATCCCCCACGCGAGCAGAATTGCAATATAGGCCCAAACGGCGAACTGGAACCACCGGGTAACGAATATCCTTCTGTAGAAGAGGAGAATAGAAACCTTGACAAGAACCAAGCTTGCGATCAGGGGGAATATCTCAATCCAAAGGGCCTAGGGAGCAATGTCAGCTATAGTCATGGCCCGGCAGATCTGGCCGCGGAATGAACGAACCCTGAGAAAGACCCTCGCGGCTTCAAGCGAGGGTAAGGTACTCTCGTTAATCCCCCCGAGCCCGGCAGCCACGTAAACATCAATGGGGACCCCCCAAGCACATAGTAGGGCTATAATAATGACATAGTCATCTGCAAATAGCCGCTTGGCCTTATATGTATTCGACCAGATACGAAGCGCAACGGCGAGAGTCGCCAGGATAGGGAAAATGATCGCGACGGCCAGTAGGGCAGTAGATATCAGGGATGGGCTCGAAGCCCGTGGAGCAGAGCTCATGCCGCCCTTCTTGTCTCAGCCGAATAATAGAACATGCACCGGGAGGGATAGGCAGTGGATGCTTGGGGTTGTGGTTTTAAATTGAAATATTCCCTTCCACTCCACCCTAGTCTGCATAAAGGAGGGGTAAATCTGGGGCCAAAATAGCTGAAATGTAACATCTTCAACATATTACAAAGTCTCGAACAGTCAATAGGAATCAACATCCTAAAATACGAGTAATACGGGAGGGGAAAGCACACGGACTTTTGGCCCAACTGCAGATTACGCTAGTTGTCGGCGGCTGTGTTATCATGCAGAGAGAACGAGGCTTAACCCTACCCGGTGAGGGCAGTGTGCGTGAGTCAGTACATGACATCCCTGTCTGCGCACACACAGTAGTCGCTTTATTTAAATCCGATTGACATTGATTCACTTTCCACCCGGGGAGATTCAATTTTCTCTGTATCAGCCCCGTGCAGATTCCCCCCCCC